CTTCTAATGAACAAAGCCATCACTCCGGCGAAGATGCGGCCGCTACGTCGTCATCTCCAATTCGCCGCCCTGTTCCCCACTCTCCTTCTCGCTCCGTGGAGGAAATTTACAATCTGGTTCCCCTCAATGTCTTTCGTCCTACCGATCGCACCACCTCTTCTCCTCCACCTCAACCTCTTCGTCTGATCGATGAATCAGACGAGGATACTCTTGACCATATTCCTCTCTTACGTCGCCGACCAGCATTTGGGGTTTCTGATGCCGCTGAGGCGGCTCTCGACGCTGCTGAGGCTGCCGCCGAGAAAGATGAGGATGACGCTCCCCTCTCTCACCATTCCGTCTTCGCCAAATCCGTTTCTTCGAGTAACCCTAAGAAAAGTACTCCTTCTCAATCCAAGGTAAAATCTTCGACCACTTCTGCTCCACCAAAAACCCAATCCGATCCTGTTACTGCTTCTCCTAAGCCGGCCAAAAAGAAAAAGTTAACCAAAGCCTCCTCCTCTAAACCGACTCCTTCTCGCGCTCTTATCGCCAGTTGGTTGGACATTGATGAGGTCGGCCACCCGGGGCCTTTGTATCCCCTGGCCCAAAGGACACTTATGATCGTCCTCCCAAGGATTGTCATACTTTTTTCGAGATTCAATTCAAACTTGGTTTCCTTTTCCCTCTATGCCAAGATTTGATCGACATTTGCAATTGGTTTGACCTGCCTCTGAACCAACTCCCTCCTAATGCTATCCGATTCATAACCGTCTTCATCATCCTTTGCCATGTCCGTCTGGGTCGACTAGACCTACATTTTTCCATTATTGCTATATGCCTTCGAAATATACCCATGGGCTCTACCTCAAAGGCCGCCCTGACGTTCACTTCATCTCGGACACTCCTTCGAACGTTCCTAGGTGGAAAGATAAATTCGCTTTTGTTGAACCTAGCCCTGCTTTTCCCTGGGCACCAACTCCATGGCTCAAGGAGCTCGAGCGCGACTATGCGCTACCTTCCCAAAATGCCCTCTTCGACCAATGGATAGCTGTGTGGAACAGTAAACCCGTCGCGTCTAAGACTTTGCTCGAAGATGATAATCTTTTGCATTTTTGCGGCCTTCTCACCCACAAATCTCTTCCTCCTCCTACCCAAAAAACTTTTGATCTCATTCGAATCGAAGACGACCCAGGTACTTTTTGTTAAGTTTTTCGAGTGTTGACTTTGTTTTATTTTTGCACGTAATTTATTTGTTGCAAACTTAACTACGCAAGTTTTTTGCAGAGATGCCTGCTATCCCCTTGCCTAATAGGAAAGTGCCCTTGAAGAAGAAGGCCATTGAGGGGTCAAGCTCGAAGCCCGCTGACTCGACCACCTCCCAATCTACTCGTTCCCCTTCGCCGCCACCTGAGCAGACGACTTCCACCATGGAGGTCGATCCTTGTCCACTGCCTGTTCACGAGCCTATCGTCGAGGAATCACCCTCGACAAACCCCCTTGTCAACCAACAGCTCGAGCAGCCCGAACAGCCCGAGCGGCCAGCATCTCCCCCACCATCTTCTCCTCCTGCCGGCATGACCACTCCGGTAATCCACATACCTGCCTCTCCTAACGATAAACTGACCGAGGAGGTCCGACTGAAGCGCCACTTGGTCGAGGAGGCTGAGGGGCCTAACAAGCGCTCCCGTCTCGAAGAAACTGCCGTTGTCATGAGTCCATCCACCATCTCGCTGACCAAATTCGATGGTGTGGGGGTGTCGACCTTCCTTAGGGAAGTCCTTCCCGCCGTCGATCTTCCTACTGACCATCCCAACGATGGCCACACTCTCCGTGATCGAGGTGACCGCATTGCCCGGTGGTTGGCGCAGGTAATCTTTACACCATTGTATTTATCTTCTTTATCCTATTTCCTTTTGGCAGTTTGTGTATTAACTCTTCTTATCGTCACTACCCATAGAGAATGGTCGAGCTTACTCCTATAATCGAGCTAACCCTCGCCAGCTCGAGCCGATCTATCCCCTCGATCGAGCAGGGGTCATGCCTTATCAGGCACAGGAGGGATGAGCTCGTTCACCAAGTCCAGAGGTTGCAGGAGAAGTGGCACAGTAATTGAAATGGTACAAGATCGATTTTAAAAGAAAAATATTAAAATTCAATCAGAAAGTAATAATACAATGTCAACGAGAGCTTATGACAATAGTTCAAAAATGGCTTAAGTACATAACTAACTCATTAATAAAAACTAATTCCATTAAACTATTCGAGTACAGGGATTTCCAAAAATAGCTTTTTCTAGACCACGTTATAAAACTGACAATTAATAAGAAACTGCTACCAATTTCAAAAATCAAAAAAATCTTTTTCTTTTCTCTTCTTTTCTTTTCCACGCAATTTTTCTTCTTCTTCTTTTTCTTCATTCTTTTCCTTTCCACGCATTCTTCTTCTTCTTCTTCTTGAAACATGAGTGCATAAGAAAAAAGTTAATAACAAAAATAACAAAAAAGATTGATTATATACATACATAACAATTAAAAATATCTAAAAAGTAACACAAAAAATTTGTTACTCAATTTTTTTTTCTCTTTATTTTTTTAAAATTCGAAAATTGCACTGATAGAGCCAAACAAAACAAGACAAGAGCAACAACAAAACTAATAACCCAAGAACAAAGCAACCGCAAAACTACAAAAATAAGCTTAGCAGGACAACAACACAAAAGAGGCAGCTCCAACGAATAATAATAATAGTATAATTAATAAAAAAACATCAAACAAGACACATATATCATAACAACAAAACAACACCAAAACAACAAAACAGAAATAATCAAACAACATGAAAAAAACTTTTGAGATAGTTTAGCAGTAGATCGTAAAAATATGAGGATAATTACAAAACCAATTAAAAAAATTTACAGCCTGGTCTTCAAAATTGCATATAGGTTTTGTGAACACATATAAGCATGCTACACTTATGATTCATTTTGACCAAACTTTTTGACAAATCCAGCAAAGGAAAACATCAAAGCTGTCAGGTCCCGGAACATACTTCGTACCTGTTCATGAGCCGTCAATTCTTCGAGTCACAATAGTGCTTCATCCACTGCAAAAGTTCCAACCCGCCTCTTGAATTAATTAATAATTAGGGCTACGATGAATGAATTTGAGAATCTTCAATTGGCATAAGCGCGACCTCCTTCTCCGAATATGGATGACGAGGCTGCGATTGGATTATGGAAGGCGTTGAACGGTAGACGGTTGAAACGCGGGGCAAGAGCTCCACAGGCGCCGGTCGACGGTAGACGGTCTAAAAGGTCGGAGATCTGACCCAAAATTGAATCCCTCCGTGTTCGATAATTTTACAAATTGAAAATAAATGTGAAACGATGGGAGAAAAAAGAGAAGAAGAAAAAGGGCGAAAAGAAAGCAAAAAAACCTGTCGAGATAAAAAGAATGAGAATGAACTGCTAGATAAGGAACTACATATATTTACAATAACCAGCCCCTAACTAACGGTTATTAGATTAGATTCTAATAATGACATTTAATAAACCACTAAAGGAATAAAAAGGAGTAAAAGTGGAATAATGAGATGGTGCTGCAAATTAAGAATAATCTATATATATATAATAAGAATTACCATTTATCAAAAATAGTAAGTCAATCCTTGTTCAAAACTGATCAACATTAATTACATGCCATTTATAGTATCTTTTTAATATATTTTTTATTAAAAAATGACAACATTAAATGTTGTCCTGAAAATGAGGAGTTTGTTACTTTTTTTTTTCAAAAAAGTGGGCTGCTATTTAAATTTGGTCCATTGAATATTTGCGATGGTTTGACACGATGTGCATATCAAAAGCTGATAATGCACGGGTTGCATCAATTAAATTTGGCTATTGTCACAATAAGCTATTTTTAAATTTGAATAAAAATGTACGTCACGACTGCTAATTCAATTAAATATCGGCTAATTATATTCTCCAAATTTAAAACCAAATATTCGGCTAATACAATTGCTTTGCTTGACAGTTTTTTTTAATAAAAAAATTATGACTGATTTAATAATAAAAAAAATTATGTGTTATTTTTTCTAACCATAAAAATATGCTTTTGTATTTTCAAAATATCAGAAACCTTTTATTTTCTATAAAATCAGCTAATACATATGTTTTAAAAAAACTAAAAAAATCATTTGTGTATTTCTTTTGAAAACTTTTTCCTAACCATCAAATCGGGCAGTTTCAATTAAAAGAATAAAGTTGCGGCTAATTCAATTGTTTTGTTTGACAATTATTTATAATGAAAAATAATACACGAGTCTAATTTTGAAACGATCAAAATTTTTAATGTCTTTGTTTAAATCAGAGATTTGAAATAAGAATAATCTCTATATTTAAATTGCTTTAATTGTAAAACGTAATGTATACAAGATTTAGCTAGATTTATCACATATCACCTCTAAATTAATAATTTTTTTTTTAAATTTTAAAATACCAAATCAAATTTTTTATGGTCTTGTTTAAATCAGAGATTCAAAATATCTTAATCTTCATATTTAAATCGCTTTAATCGTAAAACGTGATGTATACAAGATTTAGATAGATTTATCACATATCTCCCCTAAATTAATGATTTTATTTTTTCCTAAGTTTCAAAATACCAAATCCTAAAGTTGCGGGTGATTTAATTATTAAACGATATTTTGTAATCATAGATTCGGGTTATCTTTAAGTTCAAAATTTAAATTGCCGATATGTAGATAAATTTGGACAGATTAAATACATATGATCCCTAAAATGAAGAATTTTGTTCCATTAAAAAACATAAAATATGAACTTAAGATGTAGATTTTATTATGCACATGTGATAATACAATTTTACATGCTATGAAAGTCATATTGTTTACCCGTGCATCGCATGGGCTACGCACTAGTTTGTTTTAAAAGGATAGGCAGTGTCTTTAATTCTTCAAAAATTCAATAAATAACAACTAATTCACACAGTTGGGCTTTCATTGGGTTTATCCACCAAATTGTAGAAAGGTCTCGGTCCATCATAAACTGCATCAGGCCCAAATACAGGAAGGAATTTGGTGCCCAACACTGCACGACACCGTATCAGTTTAAATCATTTGTTCTTGTTAGGGGAAAGAAAATGAAGAAACTTCTCGAGAATCAAGTGAAAAATACAGCAGCTGAGATCTGAGACACAAAGCAGAAGAAATGAGCTTGGCAACGACGTCGTATCTAGCTCGGCGTGCAGCACAGAAGGAGAGGGTTAGGATCCTCTACAGGCGAGCGCTCAAGGACACTCTCAACTGGGCCGTGCATCGCCATCTCTTTTACCCTGACGTAATTGTTATTTTCCTTTATCTTTCATATTTGTGTGCGCTGATTTGATCTCGACGGTTTCCTGGTTTTGTTCGTATAAGCACGTATGCAAGCTCGATTGGCCTTTCATGGAGGATTTTATGAGTAACTGCACTTTTTTTTTTTGTCAGGCTGATGCTCTCAGAGAGAAGTTTGAGGCCAACAGACAAGTGGTGCGTTATCATATCTAATTGGTTTTGTTCAATTTCGATTCTCATTTATAAGTTATTTTGTTACTTTGTCATTGCAATTATCTGATAACATTTAACTCTCGGGTGAAAATGATTATTGCGCTAATACGATCCATTGAGGAATTTAGATGTTGGAAGATAATAGCTATTTTCTAAATCTTTTATATGCTGAATTTGTAGCTCGATAACTTTAACAACAACTCGTGTTCCCACTATTGAGCTCTAGTGTAGTCCGTACGAACTCAAGGTGGATTTATCGCTGAACAAGTGAAAGAGGATAAAAAATGTTACTTTGTAGTGATTCACAAAGTGCTGGTTAGTTTTTAGTAGTCAAACTGACAGATGGAGGTTGAGTTTACATGGATGATGGTGGTGATGATGATGATGATGATGATGATGACAATAATAATATTTTAAAATGTATCAACTGTGTTAAGAAACTTGTGTTTCGTTGTTTATTGCTTCGAGTTTCCAGGAAGATGTTGAACTTATTGATAGAATGATATCTGCTGGTGAAGCAACCTACAACAAATGGCGGCACCCTGATCCTTACATTGGTTAGTATAAAGTTAGTCAGTTTAACCTTTTGAGTTAATTCTGCCTTAATAAAATTATTCTAATAACAATAGATTTTTGTTGCATATTATTACTATTTTTCATCAATTTGTCATGGGTTAGGGTCACTGATGTCTGATAATCTCATTCTTTTGTGAATGAATACTGTAGATATTCTGGCTTGTGAATGAACAAATTTCAAAACGAAGTAACCGGATTTGTTTTTATAATCAAATGCAATATCATTTTCTTCCAGCATTCGTGCTTTTGCATAACCATTGGCGTCCCACTGTTTTTTCCCCATAATTTCATACTTGTATCAGTGGGAATTTTTTCTATTCTGAAATTGATGCATGATTGAGTAGAAATCACGTGCCAAATATTAATAATTACAGTTTGTTCTGTTCTTTTTGGCGCTCATAATTGAACAGTTCCATGGGCTCCCGGTGGCACCAAATTTTGCCGCAACCCACCACCACCTCCAGGGGTAATTGATTCAACTCTTATTTTGTGTTGTACTTTAAAGCAAATCTCCTGACCTTTTTTCCTTACGTGTCCACCAATTTCTATGTAATCACTTAGAGCATGGTTGGATACAAAATTTTTATTAACTTTAACTCAACTCCACTATCCTCAATATTATCAATATAATTAAATAATACCGATCATTCATTCTTACACATTACATCAATTTTATTTTACTATTCATCCACTCACATAATTTTAATTATCCATCACTTCACATTATCTCTCTCCTACTTTATTTACTTTATTTTAAATATTATTTTAATATAATTCAAAATTCCAGTAACCACTAATCATACCACCTTTTTAAAAAATTAACCAACCAAATAAAAAGATCCAAGCAAAACCAAAAATTCTTATATCCAAGCATCCCCTTACAAATCTTTTGTTGATAGACATATGAAACAATGTTTATGTCTTAACTAGTGAGACTTCGGTTGTCCTGTGTTGTTTATATCAGTGCCTTTTACAATCTTTTGTTGTTACACATGTGAAACAATGTTTTATGTCTTAACTGGTGAGACTTCGCTTCCCTGTGTTTGTTGTATCAGTGCCTTACTTTTCTTGTTGCAGATTGAGATAATACATGACTATGGTCGTGAGGAATACTGAACTACAACCACAACTCCGTGGAAATAAATAGAGGTTAGTATTTATTTATTTATTTTTTTGGTTTCTATGATTTATGGTACCATAGAAGAATTTCTTCTCTCTAAAAGAACAAAAAAGGTATGGACATAGGATTTAGAAAATTATTTTCATGATATGAGCTCTATCATACGCAGTTAAATGGTTGGATATGGTTTCACCAATAATTGGAAGGGAAACAATTGCTTGCAATGATTTTTATGCTATGACCATCTCTTATGGTGTCTGTGATTATATTTATATTAGTCTGCTTTCTTTATGCAAACGAACGTGTCTTCTCAAATGCAGAGAAGACAGATATCAACTAGTCTCATGTTGTTCAACTTCTACCAATTTATGGACTGCTTTTTTCAGGTTGTATCGTTGATATTTGTTTCAATTTGAAGCTTTTGACTCTTAATGAGTTGGGTTTGAGAAAACAGCCGAACTCCAGAAGCTTTATGGTTATTCATGTTGTTCTATGCATTGTGGACTTCTTTTCCATGTTGTGTCAGATATTTGTTTCAATTTAAAAGCTTTTGACTCTTAATGAGTTGGGTTGTGAAAACAGCCAAACTCCCGAAGCTTTATGGTTATTCATGTTGTTCTATGCATCATCTCATTATTCGTATTGTTCTACTCATCATTTCATTTTTCTAATCTGTTACCTTGATATTAGTAACACAGTGAATCTTGCGCGGCAATTTATTATGCTTCAAATTTGTTCACTTCTCATCTTAGTATATATATATATAGCAAAGCCTTAAAACGATGTTGATTGCTCAGTTTAGTGTTTGGATCAACAAACCCCAAATTTTTAAACCACAAATATCACATTATACAGTTTTTATGGTCCTTCATGGCAACTCCTTTACTCAAGGTGAATGTTCTCACGTAATTAGGCCATTATCTTTTTTAATTTTTTTGGGCAAAGGGCCCTAAGGCTTACCAGAGACCAGAAGACCTCAGATGCTTGATTATTATTATTATTATTATTTTTTTTTTAATTATGTTGCGATAAAAAATTGTGTGAACTATGTGCTTATGATCTGACGGCTCGTACCTTTACATGCACTCCAATATATTGCCACCAACTTAAAATGACCATTCTTTACTAGAAACCACGACCAAGGAGCTTCAATTGGCTTGTTCCACATGGCATTTGTTTTGTCCTTGTTGAGCTCATACAAGTCTTATCTTTCCTAGTCGTGGATATTTCCTTAGCTTAATTTTAGATATTTTCATACTTTCACATTGACACTCAACAACACACTTACTCGAACGGTCCTATTATTGTGACATACATTGAATTCAATCCAGAGCTCAAATTAAGGTTTTATCCTTCGAATCGAACTTTCACATACTCATATGAATGTGTGTTGATCAAACATAAGTTTTTATCATTCAAATCGAACTTCACATACTCGTATGAATGTGTGTTGATCAAACATAAGTTTTTATCATTCGAATCGAATCTCACATACTCATGTGAATGTGTGTTGATCAAACAGTGGGGTGATTGAATGCAAGTTATTTTGGATTTGTTGGATATAAATTGGTTTTTAGTGAAATTTTGAGTTTGTATTAAATTAATATTTAAAATAAAATGATTAATGTTGATTTGTTGTAAACGTAGGAAAAAAATGATTGAAGGTGAAGAGTAATTTAAATTATGTGAGTGGATGAATAATGAATTTAAGTTGATGTGATGTGTGAATATGATTGATTGATATTTTTAATTATATATTTTGATAATATATAAGGGAGTTTGATTGAGTTAAAAATATTATCTAATAAATTTATACCTACCACCAGGACCTTAAATTTACAGTTAACACTCATACATCAATAAGATATTATGCAAAGAAAAGCCTCTAGCCAATTAGGTTATAATTATCGTCCTCTCTCTCTTTCTCTCTCTCTCTCTCTCCTTGAAAAAGAAAATCCCCAAATCAAACCCTCCCCTCCCTCTCTCTCCTGTTTTTGCCTCTGATTCTGCTGGAGTCGGCATCCTCGCAGTGCCGCTCATCACTAGGGGGCCAGCGAGCCTTCTTATCAGGCATCCCCTGCAGCCCGACGTGACATGTCTCTTCTTCCCGTGGCCATGGCGTTGTGATGATGGGGTTCCAGCATCTATTTTGTGGCCTCGTGGTCGCCGACACCGTCCGCCGCCCTAGGGCGAACGATGATTGAGTTCGTGGTCGGGTGAGCTCCCTAGGACGACGGTGCTAAGGCGGGTGGTCCGTCGGTCGAGGTGGTGGGTTGCCGGAGGTGGCTATCGGCTGCCACTGACCGGTTTGGTGTTAGTGGGCTTCTCCAGTTGGGGTTTTCGGTGAGGAGCGGAGTGGCTCGTGTCGACGGCAATTCGGCTTGTTTTGGTCCTGGTTTAGTTGTTGTAGTTTCTAGTTTTGGGCTGGGTTGTGTTTCTGTCTTCTGGTCGTGTCCGTGCGGTAGTGGAGGGCCTTTATCCGTTTTTGTTTTTTCTATCTAGGTTTTGTTGGTGTGTGTTGTTTTAGTTGTTTGTGTTTTGTTGTTTGTGGTTTTGGTGGTGTTGGGTGTATTTTGTCTCCTTTTGTGGAGTGAGTTTTCTCGTGCTATTCTCCTGTGGGGATCTTGTGTTATTCTCTTGAAGAGCGCTATGATTTGAATTAAAGTGTCAAATATGGAGCTCCATGTTCCTAAAAGACATATACACTAAATCTAGGGTAATTGTTATTTTAGTACCTGTACTATGGGGTAATTGTGATTTTGGTACCTATTCTTTATTTATTGCGAAAATACAACCTGATCTTTACGTTTTTCCGATTTTGGTACCTAGTATTGACGTCGGTTTGCATGACTTTACGTTTCGGACTCGTTTGGGTTCGTTCTAACTCGTAATTGAGTTTCTTTTTTTCTACGGGTCGCCAACGAAGCCCTCTATTCAATGATGCTTGCATGAACAAATTATTCTTGAAATACTATTCTCCCAAAGCTTATGATCAGCACAAACGTGCTTCACGCGACTTCGCGTTTTGGGCCCGTTCGAGCTCGTCCAAACTTGGAATTGAGTTCCACTTATTTAGACATGTCGCCAACGAACCCTTCTACTCAACCATGGTTGCCCGGTCAATTTTTGTGCCAAATTTATTCCTCACGGGGCTTCCAACCTGCACACTAAAACAAGCACAATAAACTACAAAAACGAATAAAACCCAACGAAAAGTTCTAAGATGGGGGAAAAATAGTAAGTCAATATTTAGTAAGTCAATATTTCTCATCAAAATATTTCAAAACGCTTAACGTTTGAATTGACAAAAATTTAAAAACTAGTAGTGATGGAGTTTTGGCAAGTGTTTGTTCTATTTTTTTTACGTTTTTTTTCTATTGTTTTGTCAATATTTTTTCTCCGTTTTAGAACTTTTTGTTGGGTTTTATTCGTTTTTGTAGTTTATTGTGTCATATATTTTTTTTTTATTATTTTTCTTTTTATTTTTAGTGTGCAAGTTGGAAGTCCCGTGAGAAATAAATTTAGCCCGAAAATTGATCGGGCAACCATGGTTGAGTAGAAGGGTTCGTTGGCGACATGTAGAAAAAAACGGAACTCAATTCCATGTTTGGACGGGCTCGAACGGGCCCAAAACGCGAAGTCGCGCGAAACACGTCTTTGGTGTGCTGATCATAAGCTTGGAAGAATAGTATTTCAAGAATAATTTGGTCATACAAGCATAATTGAATAGAGAGGTTCGTTGGCGTCGCGTAGAAAAAAACGGAACACAATTCTGAGTTCGAACGAGCCGAAACGAGCTCGAAACGTAAAGTCATGCAAACCGACGCAATACTAGATACCAAATTCGCAAAAACGTAAAGGTCAGATTGTATTTTCGCAATAAATAAAGAATATGTACCAAAATCACAATTATTCCATAGTACAGGTACTAAAATAACAATTACCCCTAAATCTATTACATGTGCTTCCAAATTTTTGTGCACTAAAAATTAGGTTAATGTTCAAGGAATGGTACTAAGTCACAGGCTCTGCTTTTCCTGTGGTGCCACATGTTAATCATCACATAAAGAATCTACATTTAATCTCTGCACGACAAACAGACAATTATAAAAAAAGTTTGAGCAATTTGACTGGTGTGTGGCATAAAATTATTCTGTCAAAAGATGCACTAGGTTTCAGAAGATTGGGCCCTTCTTTTTTGTTTATTTTCAGCGACTTTTGTTATTAATGTTAAATATTATGTGACAATTCTTTATGCATATCTAGTGTTTTTTTACATTCTTTTGGATATTAAATACCTCTCTTCTTTTTTTTTTTTGTTTATTAGTGCACTAAATTATTTCATAAAACAGAAGGTGCTAACTAACTTCTCAACTCGCCATGTTACTCGAAAATCATTGTCCGCACATTTCTGGAAGGAAATATATTCCCAGTGACATAATACAGGGTAAATGCAAGTTCATGGTAGAAATCTTTACAAGGTCAACAATATGGTTACGGTAAATAATAATATAAATAAAATTTTTAACATCTTGCAATATAAATATGCACTTTTATTTGAAAGGTATTCGCCAACCGTTAAGTTGTCTCACACAAAAGTTTATGCAAACTGACAACGGCAATGTCTGGTAATCAAATAAGTTAGATTATAGCTTATTTGATTAGTTTATAAATTTTTTGTAATCAAATAAACTTTGTTTGGTAAGACGAGTATTTTTAAAAAGCTCAAGCTGATAAGTTTTTTTGGATAGTTTTTAAATAAGCTCGTTAAAATTTTTATTTCAACTAGTTTATATACTAATTTTATCAAAAAAATTTATCATATAAGCTTACTTTTCAACTATAAGTCTTAAGTTATAAGTTCGAAAATTACTCATAAGCTATATGCTAACTTATCGGTTATCAACTAGTTACTAAACATAACCAACTTGATTTCTACATTATTGAATTAGACAGTGAAATTCTACATGTATAAAAAGAGAGAAATGGTTTCTTAATGCATCTACTCTTGTTACTTTCCAAAGGAGGTCTATCAACATATTTCAGATTAAATTACAATAAACATTATTTTTCTAAAAAACACTTGTTTTTCTAAACATTATTTTGAGACAATGATTTTATGTGGCATTACATGTTGAGATGTTTCCCATAATAACAGCCTACATAACATTAATAAGTTTGTTCCTTTAGCTCATAGCACAAACACGTTGCGGGGACATTTCCTATTTTTTCTACATTTCTTATCATTTTTTTAAGCAACTTACAAATACTAAACAATATCCCCTTATTTCCACTATTTCTCTCTCGTCACAGCTAAATAAATTTATTGATAACAACCTATAATCGTCAGCACATTATAAGAAATACCTTCATCTCTTACTTATACTTACAGTATTGTGTTATGGAGTGTGATTTCATGTTTAAACTTTTGTGTTATGGAGTGTGATTTCATGTTTAAACTTTAAAGTGTGATTAAATAAGATTCATACCTAAATGAACCTCGTCATATTCTACTTTTTATTTTTATTGTTATTATTATTATCTATTTATAAAAGGGACTATTGCCTGATTAATTAATTACTAAAGTCCCAAACTTTACCCACTGATTTGTAGATAAAATACATCTAACTCTAGTGATGAAAAATGAGAACGTGAATTTAGTTTAT